GAACCCTCAAGATAGTTTAGTTGTTCAATGTTTCATTTTGCAGCTCAAAGAAAAGCTTGTACCAACTACAATATATATACGATTAGGATTAGATGTTTCTACGTTGATGCAAGTTTGATACATGTTAGATATGAAGATTGTTCGTGAGGAGACGGAGAAGAGTGACACTCCCTTGGCTTCTCGGTTGTGGCACTGTTGTCTTCTTTCTGCCTCTGTTCCCCTGCAAGTGAATTTGGGAACTTATTAATCAAATGATTTTGATCTCTAAACTAATTAACCAACAACATTTGTCAAAGTTTAAATTCTTCAGTGTCTGCTTTGGATTGGTCATGTGTTATACCTTCGGCTCGGCAACATCATCCTCGATCTCTAATGTGTTGATTTCTCTTGTTAGTAACACGGATGAAGCAGGTTGGAGTCTCCTGTTACAGAGAACAAATTTTTTTCCTGATTAACTAAACCCGAAAAGAAGAGACAGAGAAAGGAGAATAAAAAAACAACCTTCTTGGTTTCTGTCTGCTCCCCTGTTTCTTAGCTGCTTCACGGGCATGGACTTCAATTTCAGGACCCTGTGTTGATTTGGATTTCTCTTGAACATGAGCCTCGGAGATTTTAACCTAGAGATGAGACAGAAGTTTAGTGATAGCTGTTTTGGAGAAGCTTTGATTTGTGTGCCATGAGGTGAAGTTGTCGAGATTTGTAGAATGGCCTAACCTGTGGTTTCTCTATCTGGTTATCATTTATGTCCAAGTCATTCATTTCCTCAGGAACCGATCTGGATGATGCAGGCAACAGTCTTCTGTTTCTGGAACAAGACCAAAGAGAATTTAGACAAAGAGGGAGAGAGGCCAGCTACTTCAGCTTCTATAAGAAATCACTCTTGACCTTTTTTGCTTCTCCGAATCAGAAAATCTGCGGGATATGGCGGATTCTGTTTGAACCTTAGACAGCTGGTTGTTGATGCAATCTTGACTTGCTTCAACTCTTTCTGGTGAAGGTGTTGGATCATCTTGATTCTGGATGGCCTAAAGGAAAATCAGTTTTCTCAGCATTTGCGTCAAAAAATGCCAAATCAAAGATGCATCCTCGTTTCTAGTGTTCTAAACCTAAACTTACTTTGCTAAGTAAAGTATATTCAAATATGAGTAGATTTGTGTAATCATTCAATAAGAAACTCAACCCTTGGCTAACTTTTAATAGCTTCCTAAACCTGAATTTGCCTTACAGTGTGATAATGAGAAAAACGGAAAACGAAAGAACTACTTCACCTGACTTAGCTCTCCAAACTACATGGCCTGACCCAGATGAATGAAAAACATTTCATGTACCTGATCACTTGGAAAGTCAGCAGCTTCAGCTTCAACCTGAGTAGTTCCCACATTTTCTTCAGAATTAGCAGGCTGCTGATGCTGCTGATCAATGCAAAGTGCAAACACACAACAAACCACATGATTTCGTGAACGAGTTTCTACACAAGGAACGTATCAACTAGCCTTACTCTTGGCTCCACATCATTGTCAGTAGACGTGTGGCATAGAACAAACTCAGCATCTTTCACCTAATGGAAGGTTATTTATTCATTATCAAATAAATCTGAGGACATGAAAGCCTTAGAACGAGCATATACATTATGCTTATATATTGTAAATAGTAATGTAAACATAACCATATCAACCAGGTACATTTTTGCATGGCACAGGAGACTTGTTGCATTCTTCTACACTGGCCTCTCCTCTTGTCTTGATAAGGTTGCAAGGATCATCATCGACATTCCTCTGAACATTTGTGATTAGCAATTCATATCTTTGTCAGGTATGAGAAAGTGAAGTACTAAGAAGAAAATCCAAACGTGTGTCAACCTCGAATTGTTCTTTTGCATGTGTGAGTGCTTCTATCTTAGGTATGCATGGCTCTGCAAGGTTTTGCTTGCAAGAGGACTTGAGGTGAATCAACTCTGTCTCCAATCCAAGAGATTTGAGTTGTTCACTTCTAAGGTTATCCTTGAGACTGCAAATTTCACCTTCTGCAACCTAAGATAACAAAAATAGAATAAGGAGACATTAAACATTCTTCAACTGTGATATGTCCAAGCATCAAGGGAAAAAGCTGTATCACAAACTGCTGAATGTAAACGGAGGCAAATGGAAGGCAATGGCAGGACGTTACTTTTAATTTCTCATTGTACTGCTTCAAGACATTCCATAAGACTTTAGCAAAATTCCGCATGATGATGTGCTCTCTCTCAATTTTATCCAGGGAATCATGTTCCAGCTTCGGAGATGACTTATCTGTTGGATCAGCTTTCTTTCCCTGCAAATTCACTGGTGAACAATCGTATTAGACATCAAGGACGCAAACTAGATATAAGCAAGAGACTAAACTCGGTGCAGTCAAAATGTTTGGAAGAATTATTCTCAGAGCAAAGTCCTACCTTCCTGAGAATTTCGGTTTCTCTCTGCAGCAACACTTTCTTCAATCTAGCGATGGCAAAAGCAACATTTTTGAGTGAACAACATGCACAATAACTTTTCAGTTCCACTGAAGGCACAATAAAAATGCACAGAGATGGCCAAATTTACTTGAGAAGTCTTGGGAGCACTGAGTTTAATTTTCTTGTTTTTTTCAACTCTTAGGAATGTCTTGAGCTGCCTCTTGTTGCAAGGTTCCTCAGTGTTATCAAATCTAAATAAATCAACAAATTGAAAGGCATTAGCACTTTCGAGAAATATGGACTTCATATTTGAGTTCATTACAACAAACATTACTTGATTTTCATGTAAGGTGATGCTTGTTTTAACAGGTAGGAGGTATCAAGATAATCCTCTTCGCCTGCTTTGACAGTTAAAATCTGTAAAATAGATAGCAGAGGAGAATATAAATTTCCAATATTGGAAGATTAACTCTTGTACAAGAACTCGAAAAGAAATCCCACAAATCTGCTACGCATACCAAAGCCATCCTCTTTTTTCCCTCAAGATAATCTCGTAAATACCTTGTTAACTACATAAAGACAAAATCACATTAGCATGTAGAATGATGGAAGACTACAAAACTCACAACTAAATTAAAAAAAAAAAATCATGAGATAATATGAAGGGGTCTTTAAGGAAGATGCTACCAAAGAATTTTGATGATGTTTCTGCAATCCCTTCTTTCGGTTCTTCTGGTACTCTAACAGTGACTGCCAACAGAACCAGCATGTTCATGGTTAGTGGAGTTGCAGGCATAAAAGAAGATAATGATAAAACAATTCCAGGGAGTCCAAAATCAATGCCCTTACCCGCAAACATTGACCGAACACCATGGATGTATTATTGATGAAATTACTCTCAACCAACCTTTCTCCCTGCAAAACAATTTAAACAAACAAACAGGGAACAACTTTTATTTTACAGATGAAGACATGTTCACTGTCAACCAAGTCCTGTTTTGATGCTAAGAACAAGTACTGGACAATATCCTACAGTCACCTATAATCTGAAATCAAGCTAGGAATATAATCTCCTAAGTATTACACTGAATCTGTACTTATAAGGCAATTACTTTCAGATATGACATACATTTGTGTTTTGCATATCAAACCTGTACAGAATCCATATACGAAGTCTAAAAAATAGATTACAACCTGATTTCCAGTTCTTTTCTCTCTTTCTGCTCCCGCAAGGTCCACTATTGTCAGCATAGCATCACTAGACTGCATTTTTGTTTCGTTGGTAACGTCATTGCTTGCTGCTCGTATGTTAATGATGCATTGTGAGCGACTGCGAGTATTTTCAGAATTAGTTTAGAACACGAAGACATTTAGTTAAACATCATTGACAAAGACTCTATTTTCCATGTGAAAGGCTCTTAAAATCAAGTTAGAACAAACAATTTGCTGCAAAGTACCTTGATTGGCTGTTTGAATTTGTTGTAGCTGTTGCACGTTTCAGCATTGCTTGTCCAATTAAAGACTCTGCTTCCTCTAGATTATGGATGGGTACCTACTTAGCAGCACAAATGATTGAGAAAAGACGGAGAGTTTACTATAATAATCAATCATTATGAAAAGAAGCTTAATGTTATTGTCACCCAAGATACACCACACACAACAAAGAATGACAAACCTCTTTCAAACCCCTTATTGTTGATTGCTGGACAGACAATTCAGAGCTTCCATCTCCAAGTAAATCATAAGCTTTCTCCCCTTTCCCTCGTTCGGAGCATATTTCAAATATCGACAAGTAAAATGACCTGAAGAAAAAGTAAAGAGATGTTATGCAACAAGATACAAACTGTGTCTAGCCCAAACAAACTCATTGTTCCATACAGTTTGGTTTTTCTGCTCTTGCCACATCCATGGTGTTCATAATCGATTCAGATTGGAAGTTCTGTACAAAATATCCATGATTAGCAACCTAAGATGAGTAAACAGTACCTCAAAGATCCAGGAGAAGACTCATCGCTCTTCTTGAAAATTTGACGAAGTGTAAGTGGAACAATTCCAGGATCCTTGGGAGTTCCAAAGACTGTGTGAGTCTTCCCTGAGCCGCTAGGTCCCAATGCTGCCAACATTCCGCTTTTCCCTTTCATGAAATCCTCCAACAAAGGTTGAACCATTTTACCATACACATCGTTCTACAAACAGAAACAAAACGCAATCAATGGTAAAAAACCCTCTAAAAATCGACCAAAAAGGAAGTGAAATTGATACGAGATTTGATCGAACCTGTGAACAATCCGCCGGAAAAACGTGAGAAAACCCTTCGTATACCTCAGTCTTGCTTCGCTTCAGCTCCTGCAACGCTTGAGGTGGAGTTAACGTCACTGAATAGGAATCGTTGAGAGCAATACACGCTTCTTCGATCTTCGTACTCTTCTTCCCCTTGTCCGAGTTCCTGTACATCTTCGAAGGATTTTGGGGCCAGACATTTCTAGGTCTGCTCTTCGTGGTGGTAACCTTGGTGAGGGTTTTCAATGGTTTGATTCTAAGGAAAATCTTCAAACTCTCCAAAACCGAAGATTTCAAGGGTTCGGATTGTGGGATTTGGATAGAGAGAATCTCGTCGATCGGAAAAGAAGGAACGTTGTGCGTGTTCGTCGAAGAGACAGAATGTGGTTTAGCTCCAGTTGTATACGGCGTTGCTCTTGCTTTCCTCGGAGGATTTCGTCGCACTGTTACGGTGGTGGGACACGGCGGAGGACTGAAGCTTTTCTGTAACTCCTCCATCGTCTCTC